AATGGATTAGAGGAGCATAAAACATAAAACACAAAACACAAGAGACCACTTAAGATGGTCATCATTTCCCTCTGCCTTCTGAGGTGTTATTTTCTTTCTAGATACAAAGAAAAAGTTGTAGGCCCCCATTTCACATAACCTTAGGAGATCCAGTATCCTCCCCAGTGTTTCTGAGGATACCGTAGAATGGGGTCTGGGATGCTTAATCCTCCAGTTGCCTGTAACACACTCTTAATTTCCCCTGGGCACCACTCAACAAGGGTATGGTGTGTAACCGATCTTTACTCAGAGTGAATTCGCGGAGGAGAGGATTACAGCACAAAAGAGGAAAAAACTTTGACCTCAAGATAGTATCAGTGTGCTTAGGCCGTCACTGCCTTAGGGACCCTTACTCATATTTATATTTTTCTTTTTTTTGAGAGAGTCTCGCTCTGTCGCCCTGGCTGGAGTCAGTGGCGTGGTTTGGCCGACTGCAACCTCTGCCTCCCAGGTTCAAGTGATTCTCCTACCGTAGCCTCCTGAGTAGCTGTAGCTGGGACTACAGGCACCTACCACCATGCCTGGCTAAATTTTGTAATTTTAGTAGAGACAGCATTTCACCATGTTGGCCAGGCTGGTCTAGAACTCCTGACCTCATGATTTACCCACCGTAGCCTCCCAAAGTGCTGGGATTACAGGTGTGAGCCACCACACCCGACCCTTATCTTTTTCTTCAAAAATCTGTCTTCTTTCTTCTCCAAGGTCCCACAACCAACCCTCTTCTCTCTCAAGCTATCCAGGAAATCATTGAAATGTCTTGCCGCTTTATTGGGCTGAATACTTCAGGTCCCACTGTCTTAATACTCCTTTCTAGACAAATCCAAGCCTTGCCAGCAGCATGTTTTTCACAAGATGAATTCAACCATTTCCATAGACCTCACAACTGTCTTGGTTTTTAGCTTATTTTTAAGTAGCATTTTTTACCCTTTCCTTTACAGTTTGGAATGCACAACTAAGTATCATAAATGATTTTATTAAAACCATTCTAGAACTTAAACCACTTAGTAAATACTGTGCTTATTAACCATGAAAGACATTCCAATGATTAATGACTGTTTTGGACATATTTTAAATTGCTAACAGAATTTCTACTATATTACCTTTTTATCCATGGTGTAGAGTAAGCACAAGACAAATTTCTGAAGCAACTTAAAATCTGGAGCAAAATGAGATAAAAACATATATTTGGGGTTGGAAATAAGGTGTCATAAAGTTGTGTATCTAAGGTGAGAGCTCTCAACTTTGGAGGTAATTGTAGAGTACTGGGGAGAGGAGGACCATAAACTTTGATTAGAAAAAACATTTTATCTTTCTTTTCACTAACCTCTATTAAAAATAACATTTCCTTTCATTATGAATGAAGATAACACTCCACCATCATATTAGCAATAAATGTGACTTTGAGTTAGCAGTATCATCTTTGTAAATATCAGATATTTTCATACCATATTCCAGTTGCTGCAGAGATCTCAAAATATAGTTTATGTTCATCACTACTTTGAAACTAATAGCCCCTTTCTAGACCTTAATAGGGAAACACATATTATTGTAACACAAATCTAGTTTTAAACAGTTTGATAACTATTTCAATTTAATTGGTTTCCTTTATAATCCTATGTATTTTATGCATTTAATAACAAACTATGTTGAGAAAGAGCCCATAGTCTTCACCAGGCTGCTAAAGGGTACAATTACACAAAGTTTAGAACTTTTTCCAAAAGCAGGGTTCCAAAAAAGATTAGTGCAATGGCATGTTCATTGAGATAAATGTGCAGCCTCTGACGATTCTTACTACTATGAGGATATTTATGGGGATTTAAAGTGCTTGGGTATTCCTTCACTTCTAGTCTGTGACCTTGGTCAATTACTTATACTCTATGCCTCAACCTCTAGCTACGTAATGGGGATAAATAGATAATACTAACTTCTTCATAGGGTTTTTGTGAAGATTGTTTCATTCAAGGGTGTTTAGAACAAAGACAAGCACATAATGAGTGCTCACTAGCTAGTAGCTATTAGTCATATCACATCTTGTATGTGAAAACAATTTTCACTTTAGAAATTCCCCCATGCCATTATTTATTATTCTTTTTGGAAGGTACTTACGCCAGCCAAATGGCTCCTATCCAGTGAAAACTATGGAGGACTGACCAACTGACAAGATTGAATGTGGGTCAACATAGCTTTTCTAAGACGGACGGTTTTTTGAATGGCAGTAATCATATAAGCCAGAGGGTAGGTAAAGAGGAGGGAGCACAGCTCTGGAATGAAAGCTAGGTTTCCTCTGACTCTGAAATGTATAAATTGTGATTAAAGACAAGTTACTAATTTCTTACATCTTTTGTCTCCTTATCTGTAAAACAAACAATAACTTCCTCCCTGAGTTGTCACAGTTAAACGGAATGCAGATTAAAACAGGTTTGTAGACATAGGTACATAGAATGAACTCTGCAAATATTAGCAGCCTTCCATTTCTGCTTTCCTGTCTTCACTTCTATCACCAACTCTCTGAACCTTTGTACTTCATTCTACTATTCTTCTGGATTTAGTTAAGGATTCATAGTAAATTGCAATATTAAAAAACCTAAAAACTCCTAATGGACATCCTCCTTCTACTTTACAGAGGCAATTACCCAACTTGGCCATATAAGAAAGGAGCCACCTGCAGTGCCTGCCCCAATAATGACAAGTGTTTGGACAATCTCTGTGGTGAGTAAAAGGAAGAGTCTACCAATAGAATCACTTAATAGTAACCTGTAACTTTCTACAGAATTAAAAATGAAACCATTTGTTTTATCCTAATGACTGCCTTCAAGGAAATTGGCATCAAGTAGCAATTAAACCAATGGCTTACTGTTCTAGGAATATGTGTAAGATAAATGTGAAAATCACATTCTTTTTATTTAGTTCTAATTGGTCAAAGTATGCTATAGACTAATGTTCCTAAGATTTGCTTATTTCAGCAAGATCAAAAATAAGTATAACAGGTCATCCAAACAGATTCTGCATTCTGTAGTCCTATCTGCCCAAGGCGCTCAGGGTTTGAATCTTCATCTGTAGAACTAAACAAATGAATTAAAGCTGCAACAGGCCATGCACGGTGGCTCACACCTGTAATCCCAGAGCTTTGGGAGGCCAAGGCAGGTGAATCATTTGAGGTCAGGAGTTCAAAACCAGCCTGACCAACATGGGTAAAACCCTATCTCTACTAACGCAAAAATTAGCTGGGTGTGGTGGTGGGTGCCTGTATTCCCAGCTACTCAGGAGGCTGAGGCAGAATTGCTTGAGCCAGGGAGGCGGAGGTTGCAGTGAGCAGAGATTGTGCCACTGCACTCCAGCCTGGGCAACAGAGTGAGACTCTGTCTAAAAGAAATAAAAATAGAATAAATAAAGCTGCAACATGGCACTTTTATTAGCCAGACAGCATTTAATGAAAAAGTGTAGAAGCTGTAGGCAGGTAAATTTCCAAGGATGTTTTACTAAAAATCCAAGCAAAATTCTGCTTTGTGATTTTGAAATATTAGTAATTGACCAAAATTTTATTTCTGGTTCTTGTTCCAGACACAAGCTCCTCTATCCTAGTATGTTTTTATTTTTACCATAGTGTGAAAGGAAAACTTCAACTAAGCTACTACAGCTGTGCAAATCCTGTGGTACTTTTATGTCCACATCTGTAACAAACTGAACTCACAGCAGCTGTGCTAGAGTAGGGTGCTTAGAATTGAGGAAGGACAGAGTGGGCCAAATTTCACTGCATCAAATTTTGTTTGAAAAAAAGTGTTCCATTGCTCACATGTTTTTTAAGGTCCTTTCCAGGCCTAAAATTAAAATTCTACATATTAAACTGCTTGTTCTCCTCCTTCCCATTTAATGTTGAATACTTATTTTACATATAATAGACGTTTTCAAAGTTTGTTGAGCCATTTGTCTCTCAGTCCAGTCACGCTTTATTTCACTCATAGGACTCTTGTGAAGAAAACTCAGTAACATGTAGCCACAATTCAGCTAATATCAAGGTATCAACATACTCACTGAATTCTTCCTTTTACAGTGCTGTAGCACTTAAAAACATACATATTTCTTCCAAGTTAAGCAGTATACATAAGAGTTAAAACCATGGGTTTTAAAACCAGTATGCCAAGTTTCAGTGCAGTTTCCAGTTCTACCACTGTGACTGGGCAAGTTTCTGCCATTTTTTCAACAAAACAATCCAATGAAGAAAATAACTTTCCCTTTAAAAATCTATGTAATTAGTAATACTACCACCACCACCACTACCACAGTGACAAAAATACCGCTGGTTTTAGCTTTTGATCTTTGGCAATCTAACTTGAGATGATCTCTAATCTTGGGGAATAACACGTAAGATTAAAGCTGTAGTCCAGTAATGAATACCCTTGGACTCTTGAGAAAACACATGCTAACTTGCATGGTATTTATAAGATGTGAAACTCATTACCCATTTACTTCAGATAAGAGCTCAACATCCTACAGATTGATCTTGTCACTAATTTTCCATTCTCAAAGCTAGATTTTATTTTTTTTGAGACAGAGTTTCACTCTGTTGCCCAGGCTGGAGTACAGTGGTATGATCTCGGCTCACTGCAACCTCTGCTCCCGGGTTCAATTGATTCTCCTGCCTCAGCCTCCCAAATAACTGGGACTACAGGTGCACGCCACCACACCCAGCTAATTTTTGTATTTTTAGGGTTTTATCATATTGGCTAGGCTGGTCTTGAAATTCTGACCTTATGATCTGCCCGCCTCGGCCTCTCAAAAATGCTGGAATTACAGGCGTGAGCCACCGCACCTGGCCAAAGCTAGATTTATGTAATTTGTTTTCATGTAAGTGTAGACTTATTTGAAAGTATTCTACTCAGCACTAATATTGAATAAGACTTGTGACTAAAAAAACTTACGAATAACCATTTCACCTTTTGTAAGGTCTGATGAAGGTCAAGTTTAGAGGGTAAAAGCTTTTATTTAACAGATTCCACCTCTGACAAATTATGGCAAGCACAGGAATATAAATTCCTTTGTGGTCTCCTAGATATTGCTGGTAGCTCAATAAATACCCCTGGAGGCCAAATCAGGACTGCTTTACAAAATGTGCTGGGCATGCTTGTGGTACCTAAGATGATTTTAGCTAGTGCACAGATGCATATTTGTTTCAATAGTTGAATGTTGAACATTTAAAAATATAAGAAAAAATAAGTAGAACATCACACTCTTGATTTCATGGACATAATTGCCAAGAAAATGAGGGTAGCATCTTTACAGTAATTCACCACAGACAAAGCCACTCCCAGGTATACAGACCAGGAAGGCTCACAAGTCCCCAGAGGACCAGATTCTTGATGGCTTCTACCATGAGTAGAAAAATGACTGCTGCAGAACTGGTGTGGAAAAGGTTTCTATTTCATAAAAGAAAATATCCAGAAGGCTAAAGGCAGTTTGGAATTTATTTCTTCCCAGTGCTCTGAATGTCAAAATCTGAATAAGGCTCAGTGAAAGGAGGGGAGTAACTAATAACTTTTGATAGCCAAACAACATAATGATGATTTCATGATATACTAGACTGGATGAGAGAGATGTTACTGTCTTTTCACTGTGGACTCATCATAAACAGTATTTCTTCTCAAGAGGGAACTTAGTTTTAGAAATATATTTTAATAAATTTCTCACATGATTTCTAATATTTTTTAAATTTTATTACCTGCTAGTTATGATGTATAATATGATTTTCCATTTATAGTAATGGTATAGTTTCCTTTTTATAAAATTTTATATAAAAAATCAACTTAAAAGTACAAAGTTAGTTGCAAGTTAATGGTTATAATTAAAGACTTAGCTTTTTAAAATAAACCCTCACTTATACCTACCCTTTCAATTTTTTTTCTTCTCCCTAACCTTACAGTTAACCAACAGCGAGACAACGTCAAACGTATGTACATCAATCTTGTTTATAAAGAGCTATGTGAATTCTGTCAGTGCAATTTGAGGAACTGTGTCTAAGAGGATATTCTATGTTTTTTTCCACAGGTTACTACTCTGTTGTGTATCCAGGCTGGCCCATTTATCCACGTAATAGATATACTTCTCTCTTTCTCATTGTTAATTCAGTAATTCTGTTGCTGTCTGTTATAATTACCATTTTGATACAGCACAAGTATCCTAATTTAGTTCTTTTGGACTAATATGATCTAGTTTTAAAAAAAAAAAAAAAAACCAACCTTATTCACATATGGCTTTTTTTTAACCAATAACAATTAGGTGTATTTCTATTTTAAAACATTTCAGAAAAAAAAAATATGTTGCAGCAATACTCTTACTCAAAAGAAGAAACTTCCTAACTCTATAAATAAGTATTGTTTGCAGGTTGCCACATGTGGACTTCCAGTAAGTAACCTAACCCGTGTTTCAACTTCCAAATCTACAAAATGAGCAAGGTACAGTAGCACTTTTTTAGGTGATTCTTAGTAACTCCAGTTTCCTTCATTAGTTAAAAAAATTATTATCGTTTACATGCTGCTTCGACTCTAAATGTCTGGTTTTCCTGCAATCTGATGTGTCTCTGATTTACCACTTCCCCAGATTGAGAAAACAGGAGTATCTAGGAGATCTAATTTCAGAGGGCTTAATTTTCAGCTTGCAGATTGTTTAAAGGATTGATCAAAATTTCAAAAGAGATAAACCTATATGTTTACTTGTTATCATTAGAGAGGGAGCACCAAATACTGAGACATCATTATATTTGATCAATGGCATCTGTCACTGGATTTAATGGATAATCACAATGGTCATAATGTATACAAAGACATACATACCACGTTATAGTATAAAATTTTCAAAAAAAATTACAATAACTTATGAACAAAACTCAGAAAATTTCTCACAAATAAGGCAACTAATTAATGCCTGGTATCTCAAAATCCTTTACAAAAGGAGATAGTTCTAGTCAAGGAGTTTTGTGTATGTTACTTTTTTTTTCTTTTCTTTTCATCTGCTTCCATCTTAAGTGCAATTTCTTCAGCAGTAAGAGCGCCCAGTTTCTTATTCTTTGCTTTCTTAACCTTTTCCTTGATGCTGGCCACATCAATTTTAGTTTCAGTAGAAGCTAAACAAAGTAAAATCACAATACATGTAATACTTCTATTTTACGAAGTAAAAAAATGTATGTTTAAGGCAGTAACTTCAGAGTACTCTTATAAGTGAAAGAAATATAAAAACACCTGCCTAAAGGAGTTAAGAGAAAACAAATCATAAAATGCTTTAAATATACAATATACATTAGTACAAGTATACATAAAAATGGCATGTTGGGACCAATTACTAGATTCAATTATTAAGACTATTTCCTTAAATCCTACTTGAGACTAAATTTTACTTACATTCTTTTCCATATTTTAGAACTTTTGAGTCCTAATTATTTTCCATCTTGCACATTAAACTTATTGAAACTAGAAAGGCAACATGTAATTTTAATCCGCTAACCATAACCTAGAGGTCAAAATCTACTTTCTCTGTTTTCCAAATATTAATTCAATGAATACCTGATAGTCGTATTTTATTTAACAAGATTTTGGTAATAAAGACAATAATTTGGGAGTATTTGGAGGTCCCGCTTATAGAATCTAAGTATCTAATGCTAAAAGTGTGAACAAAATAGAGAAAGGAAGCAGTGAAAAAGAATGCAAGTTTTTCTTACCATTTAAAGTACAGTATCACAGTATAAAAAAAGTAAGACAAGACGTCATAATGTACAAACTACCCAGCAACCTGAGAAGTATAGAGATTTAAAGCTTCCACTTTGTGGAGAAACTATATTCTTAATCATTATAGATAAAGATTAAGTAGCTACTGCGTACCTTTCAAAGCACTCAACTGACAGGTTGTACAGATTAGAAATTATAATACTTATGACATTTTTATCTTTTATATAATCAATAATCTAGGACAGAAGACAGTATTTGCAAGTATTAAGCAATATAAGATATTAAAATAATATGTTATATCTGTTTCTGACCAAGTCTATGTACAATATTGCTGGTGAGCCCTCTCCCCTCAGTGTATCACTGTTCACTTTGAAGGGTTACTTTAGGAAGAAGACAAGTGTTACCACAGGGAAAGTAAATGCAGAAGAGGATGCATCAGAGTGAGACTAGAAATGAAGAAAAGGCATGGAGTGTTTTCTCTTAGTGTCTTTTAAGTGCTAGGTTAGTATGAAAGTGACTATGGTTTTTAAATGGCAAAAACTGCAGTCGCTTCCACACTAATAGCTCCTAGATAAGGCCTGTCGGCATCCTTTAATCCAAGGTGATGAGAAATCCATGTTATTAATATAGAAACCAAACTTTAAGCCAACATCACAATCCCTCTATGAGAGGCATGACAGCAGTGCTCAGGGATCTTCTTGCTTCCATTACTTTTATTTTTACAAAAGATGCACTGGCTGCTCTGGGTTTGTATCTTTCAGAACAAAGAGTCTTTCCCAAGCACAGACCAGAGGTCAGGGGAGGACTGTCAATCCAGTTTGCACTGAAATAGGCACTAGCTGCCTCTAAATTATAAATTATCTCAGTCATCCCTGGTCCTTAAGATTAGTAATTAGAGGCCGGGCGCAGTGGCTCACGCCTGTAATCCCAGCGCTTTGGGAGGCCGAGGCGGGTGGATCAGGAGGTCAAGAGATCGAGACCATCCTGGTCAACATGGTGAAACCCCGTCTCTACTAAAAACTACAAAAAATTAGCTGGGCATGGTGGCGCGTGCCTGTAATCCCAGCTACTCAGGAGGCTGAGGCAGGGGAATTGCCTGAACCCAGGAGGCGGAGGTTGCGGTGAGCCGAGATCGCGCCATTGCACTCCAGCCTGGGTAAAAAGAGAGAAACCCCTTCAAAAAAAAAAAAAAAAAGATTAGTAATTAGAGAAATGACGAAAAGATAGTTATTTCTTTACTCAACACTTAAAGAGACTCAGACAAATTCACTATGGGTTTACTTTTCATGGTTAATAAAGACTTTTACAACATAGAAAGCATTACCTTTCTTAGGTTTCACAACAGGTTTTTCTTTAGGTGGAATAAATGCTTTGTTTCTTTCCTCTTGTCTCTTACTGACGGCTTCTGCTTGTTTAGCCTACATTAATAATAAATACATTAGTTAAACACATTTAGTTAAATAATTCAAGTACCTATGAAAGTTGTGAGCTACGCATAAAATGTCTTACCTTTATTGCTTCCATTTTCTGCCGCTTCTTCTGATTTGCCTTCAAAAAGTATTCACCACTAGCCAATTCTTTATCAATCTGTTGAAAACGGTATTTACAATTAAATTACATTAGAAATAACATTGTGGAGAAGTCATGTGGTGAGCAAGTCACAATATCTTTAGGGTAAAACTGATGAGGTCATTTTATTAATAAAAATGGTAGTGATATAAAGGATATAGAGTCTAAGCTGAGGGGATAACATACACAAAAGTATGCAGGTAGGAAAGCACCTCCATGGAATACAACCCAGAGTAGTTCAGGTGGTATGGAAGGTTTCAGAATAGTGTGTGAAGAAACCACAGGGAGTGTTTTGGGGAAAGTTGAATGCTAGGCAAAGAGAGGGGATTAGATTTAGAAATGACTGTAGGTTTCTGAGAAGACTGAAAAGACCAAAGCATAATTTTAATGGAGAGGAATGAAGAATGGATGAGAGCCTGGAATAAAGGTAGTGACATGCAGAATTAAAGCAATAACTGTCAGGAATTGGTGACTAGAGAAAGCAACAGCTTGTTCATTCAATATACAGCCAACATGTAAAATGTGTATAACTGACCCATCTCCCACTTATATAGCATTATTATATCTAAGGCACTGTTCTAAGCTCTTTACAATTGCTCACTCATTTAAGAAACTTAAGTATGAATGTGATAAACAACTTACCCAGTCACATAATCACATAATGAATACATGTAAGAACAAGTCAACTGAGACATCACTGTTTCTAATCTAGCTTATACAGCTAGATTAGAAAGATACTAACTCCAAGAAAGGGCCATAAGAAATAAGGGTGGTGTAATGGAAGCATGATTTAATGACTGCATCACTCCACTTCCCCCAATTGCTATCAATTTCCTCCATGATCCAACACTTTCATTGTTTTTTCACTATGATCATCAAACCTTCCCTGAAAGGCTCCTAATACGGTTGTGGAGAAAAAGACATGTACAAAGGGAAGGCTTTAGGATAGAGCCAAGGGACGGAATAATGAAGCAAGAGCCACCAGGAGACAGGTGAAGATGGAATTCAAAGAACACATACAAAAGGTTGATGCAGATGGAAGAAAACCATACGTAAGAGAAGAGGAAACAGGGGTTCTTATCTGGTGGTCTCGAAATATTTCAATAAAATGCAATGTCATCTGCTAAACCTGGGAGGGCCCTGACAGAATTCAGAGGAAACATGGATTTTGAATGAATTTAATCCAAAGATAAAACTTTCTCTAACTTAGTTTGGTAGCCATGTTACAGGGAAGAGGTCAAGTTTTTAGACTGATCCAAGTTTTAGAGTTTTCCTGAGAAGGTGTGACAGAAGTTAAAAGGGGCATGAATGAAAACAAAGATGGGCAAGAATGAAAAAAGCTTTGGTCACATTGGGAAAGGAAATGAAGCAGAGGACAGCTGACAAATGGAAGGGAATCATAACTTAGAAAAAGGGTGGGTGTTACAATTTAAGATTTCGGAACTAGAACAATCATAGAGCACACAGTCAGAAGACTGTTGCCAAAGCAGAGTAAAGAGTACTGCAGGCTAAACCACTGAACTTTTATCCACTGAACATTCACAGTGGCTACAGGGCGCAACAGACACAAACCACCTGGACGCAGTTTACAGTCAATGTGAAGGCCACACTCCCCACCCCTATGCACTCAGCTCAAAATATGCCTATTTACACTTGCCCTCAGTTTATTACACCTCTCATGCAGAATATACACTCCACCTGAAATACCTTCAATAAATTTTCTGACCAAATAGATTAATATAGATTCTCCTTCATATAAAGTTCAACATTTAGTACTAACCTGACTTTCTGGCTGTGGTGGTGGAAATGGTGTATATTCTTTCTTAACAGTTTTCTTCTTTGGTTCCTTGCGTTTATTCACATTTTTATGTTTGAACTGTGGCAAAAATCTCTCCCAACTTTGTGATCGTAATTCAGAATCTTTTGCCAACTCTCTTTTAATCATTAAGCTCTTTAGTCATGCAACAAAGTAAAAATCTTAATGTTCAAAAGTCACACATTTGTCAAATTAAGACATAAATACTGCTCTTATAAATAAAAAGAACAGCTCCTACTTTTAGTGAGATTAAATCAATTACATAAGCAAAAAGGTCATCTCAAACATGTAAAACTAACCAAGTATTAGAAAACTTAGAAATTTAATTACAAAATGTAGAATTGTTAAAAATGAGATGAAAATAAAACTGACTTAACTTTTCAACCCTTATTTCATGAAAACGTTTAAAATTCAACTGATAAAAGCAGGGAGGGTTCTTAATTAGCTGTTCCCTGAAAGGAAGTTTTCAGTAGCAAGTGAAATATAGAAAAAGACAAAAGTACACTTTCTCATGATTACAGAAAACCAATATTCTCAGATTTCCCTATTCCATTTAAATTTCAGACCTTGGAACATCAGAGAATGCAAACTGAGAATCAGACACATAGCTTTGTTTTTATCTGCAATGTCCCAATGTAACTCAAAATCACTTTCACCCTAACAGTGACTTTCTAACAAGTTCATCAAATTTAAGTGGATTGCTCAACAAACCCATCATAAAATAGTTCTTTATGCCACGGTTACATTTCTAAGCATAATCGAACTCTGTGCACAGTGATATAACAGATTTCTCTCAAAGGGGCTACAATTTGAGTATTAAATTTAAAAAAGTTTTAATGCAAATCTAATGCAAGATGTTCTAGATTTTATTTACTAGAAAAAGGCAGAATTCTGAAAGATTGTATCTTTAAATACATGGGTTCATAATCTAAGAAAACTGGATTGATATGAGCTACAACAAATTCTGTGAAGCTTATTTACATTGATTAGAATTATATAACACATTACAACACTATCCCCTTCAGTAGTTTTCACACTGTGCTCCATAGAGAGCCAAGCTTCCAAGGAAGTACCTACAAAACTTGGGTACAGTTAAGTCAGCTGAATTCTACCCCTAATTTACCCAAAATAACTCTGCTTTATCTGGTTGTGCTTTAGAATTTCATAACACATTTAATTTCAAAAAGGTTTCTGTAACTAAAAGAATTATGACAACCACTGGTACAGTTATACTCACTTTAATGTTATAAATTGGATGAATATTCTTCATAGTATCTAGGACTACTTTTCTAACCTGAAATTTGCAAAGAAAAACAAATTAGTCACTTACAGGATTTTAATGAGCTAAAGAGAAGAGGATTAATAACGCAAAATATCCAATCAGGTAATGGGTACCAAATTAAACACAGTAGTTCCTTTAACTGCTTTGAGTGGCTTCTAGATCTTTCATAAAGGCAGTCAATTTCCCTTGAATACAACATAGTTTCTCAATTACTGCTAAAATGTAGCACAAAGAACTAACACAACACTCAAGAACAATGTGATTGAGGAGGGCTGGAATACGAGAACTGCCACTACTTACAGGAAAGTCACTTTCCTGTTCCAGCTCCATTTGTAATATGAAGATAAAACCATAAACGTCAAGACTCTAATGTAAGAAATAATATAAAGACTTTATAAAATTATTCAATATACTTAATTACTGCTCCATGAGAAAAAAGCAGATAACTTGTGAGAAACGAGGCCAACAGGTTTACTATTAAAGGCCCTGGAAAGGAAGCACAACCTCACAAGCCAGAACTAGACAGTAATAGTACGAAAAGGAGTCAACAGAAATAGCATTTGCTCCACAGATTTTCTCACCACATTTAATTTGAAAAGTTAAATGTTCGTGACAAGTTATTAACCACTATACTGAAATTCAAACATAAGAAAATATATCTTGAAGAATCAAGTTTTCAGAGTGTGCCCTCTACTGGCTGCATACACTACTGCAAATAACGATTTTTGCTCAGTTTTCCCACCATTTGAGCACATGTGACTACATGTTTTTCATACGTGCTACCGACTGAAGATCTTACATGCCCATTTAAATTTTATGGTGGGAGGAGTGATGGTATGCAGACCTTCTAATTCAGAAACGGATGTCTCCACAGTTGCCAAAGATTGGCCATAACATGTTAGGGTCCAGAATTGATTCCCTTGAATCACATAACATAAAAAGTATTTACTAATGGCAAATCAAAGTATATTCTAAAAAAAAAAAATTATAAAGCAATATATTATCCAATAAACTATATTATAACCAAATCATTTGTTCTCTGCTGAAAATGAATTGAAGATAATACATAGGTTCTCACCTCTTTTAAGCCACTAAAAGGTCCAATGGCTGAAACTGTGTTTCCCTGAACCATAATATAACAATTAGTTAAGAGTTCCAATGCCTGTATCAAAAGAACAAGTTAAAATAAATTACTCTGAAAAATTAATAAGGAAAAGACTCAAGTTTTCCACTAGTAACAAGTACCTTCAATGTAGATCCTTTGGGACCAATAAGCCGTTGTCTTCTTTTTACAAATCTTTCTTTATTTCTTACTAAAGAACCTATTTTAATGATGTCACATGCAACATCATCCTGAAGAATTCGTACTGCCTTTTGAAAAAAAAAAAAGTCAACATTTTTTACAATCACATTTATTTTCCAAGCCCACACTAACATTATCTAAGCACAAACATGAAAATTTGATAGTGGAAGAGAGGGAGGAAAAGATGGGATGCTATAGGTTTACACTAATGCAAATAAAGCAAAGTCTCTAATTCTACATTTACCTGTTCATACGAAACACTCCTTGCTAACAGTCTTATCAGATCTCTGGCTCTGATGATGATATATGGATCAAAAGTCTTCTTTGTAGTACAAACAGTCATACTGCCCTCAATCAGGTCCAGGGTTGCATTAACATGCTACAAAAAGAAGGAAGAACAAACACGCAGTTGTCTAAAAATCAGTTTATTTTTAGATAATCATAAAGCCTATCCTAACCAACCTATTAATTTCTGTCACCTCTCAATTTCTATCAATTACTTCCTTGAAGAAGCTAGATAAGCATAAATAATGAATACTCAATTGCTTTCATACTTTATGGACTATAAGAAACAGGGGCAATTGAAACCATTTACACTTGGTTTTAGAATACTTTGTAAGCATTGGAATATTGATTGCCTCTAATTTTAAAATTATAAATCAACAAATGAGGCCATACTTAAAATCTGACTAAAGTAAAAATGTAAAGCTGTACAGCTTCCCTATTCTGGACCCAGCTCCAGTCTACCATCTGCTCTATTAGTAAGAATTGACTTTCCCTTTCACACCTTATCAGACTAAATACAAATTTAAAGCAAATTCTCACAGGTTCAGAAAAAAACAATGATTAGAAAAGCATTAACTTTCAATCAGAAAAAAACATTTCAATGAAGCAAATTAAAATCCTGTTTTCTCACTTGTGAGCATCTCAAGAATATTTCAACATAAAATTAAAAACAAATGATCATTAGGTAGAAAGAAGACTTACCTACATTATTTAAAATACCAAAGGAACCAGCTATGTTAGCACCATTAAAAAAAATACATCAGCACACATACACTTACTTAAAAGTAAAGGCATAAGCAAAAGCAAAGTCTAAAATAAATGTATTAATATAATATACACATACATGTTCATTTAAGGCTTTCTGCACCAATGGCCAACACTCTTTCAAGTAAGCTTCTCTGTATTTGGGGAACAAAGTTGCAAAACTGCTCTCCTCCAAGAGTCCTCTAGGATTGTCCTCTTTGGAAAAAGCTGGTTCCTTCCAACCATCAGGAACAGTAAGGAGTTCTGATTCATCTATAGAAAGGAAAAAAGTTACACATCACATTTTAACTGTCTTTTGGACACTTTATGAACACTCTATGCACATATTCACAGGTCTTCTAATACTCCTTACATTTCCTCTTCCCCTGCTGCTTTTTATATTACTTAAGAGTCAAAGAACATTCCTCTGTCATTATCATCAACTCATTGTATTAAAATTACCTGTACACATTTCAGTTGCCTCAGAAGACAAAGTCTTCTAAAAACAGAAACCCTCCTCACTCTAGTTGGCATATGCCAGGCAGATAGTACTCAAGACACATATACTTCATCATGAAGATTTGAATGCCATTTTGTCTATTATTTTAAATACAATTAATCTTTTGACTTTCCTGGAGTGGATGGAACCTGGGGGGTGTGTGTTTGTGTAAGACTTCTGAAAATGGATTCTAGTTTATACTTTCAGTTAATAATCACTGGTAATTCTAGGTTTTCCTAAGTGTTTTCAGTGCCTTATTTCCATATGCCTTTCATCATAACTATAGAAGTTAGAACGAATCTGTATTATTATTACCATTTTATAGAAGATGGTCTGAAAAGGCTAATTGCCTAAGTGAACACAAAGCTGACTCAGCCTGGGACTCCTTTCACTAAAAGAAAATGCCTCCTAAGGGTCATAAATTATCTCCTGAATCATTTATTTTAAAAACTCCTGGTCCTGAATTTTAAGAACCCCTGAAATTTAACAGCTATACTCTAATTCAGTTATACTCAAAGGTATGATCTATAGACTTGCAGTATCATAATAAACTCTAAGTCTGTTAGAAATGCAATTCTTGGGCCCCACCCCAAACCTACTGAATCAGAATCTCTGGGATGAGGGAGACTCTTAAGCACAGTAAAGTCTGAAAAGCAGGTCATTAGCCTATGTTATTAACCTCAGACAGCTTAACTTTCTGCATATACTCACATCTGCTTTGCTATTTCTGGTTCAAATCACAGACAATTGGCTAGTCTTCATATACCATTCACTCTCCAATATCTTTTAAAGAACTCATTCTACAAAAGTGATTATATATATATAGTGTGTGTGTACACACACACACACATATATATTTTGGAGACAGAGCTTCACTCTAGAATACAGTAGCTCCAACCCAGCTTACTGCAGCCTGGACCTCTTGGACTCAAGCAATCTGATCCTCTTGCCTCAGCCTCACATCTAGCTGGTTCTACAGGCATGTGCCTCCATGTTCAGCTAATTTTTGTATTTTTTTTTGTAGAGAAATGGTTTGCCATGCTACCCAGGCTGGTCTCTTGGGCTCAAGCAGTCTGCCCACCTCAGTTTTCCAAAGTGCTGGGATTACAGGCATGAGCCATCGCAACTGGTTACCTACAATGCTTACCTGACCAAGTCCCCATCCAATTTAAAATCTTCAAAGGCTATGGATCAGTTTTTTTAAACTCCCCACTCCAAAATCAGAAAAAAAAAAAAAAAAAAAAAAAAAAAGACAAATAGGGAGTTTCACAGTTAAAGTACAAATAGCCTCAAAACACGTGAAAAGATATGCAACCTCATAGGTGATCAGAAAATGCAAATTAAAACTACAACCAGATACCATTTCATACCTACCAAAATGACAAATTCAAAATTCGGATAATATTTGTACGAATGGAAGGCAATGAGAAATTTCATTCACTGCTAGTGGGGACAAAACTGACACAACCCCTTTGGAAGAAAAAGTTAGCATTACTTACACACACCCTACACTTCAGTGATTCCAATCCTATGTTCATAACCTAGGGAAACCCTTGAACATGTTAATCAGAAGACATGTACCACGATGTTTTAGCAGTATTGTTTATAATTGTAAGCAATGTGAACAAACCAAATGTCCACCAACGGTAAAATGAAAAAATAAATTGGCGTATATTCATTCAAGGAAACACCACATAACAGTGAAAAGACTAAAACTACACCTACAGGTATCACCCTGTTTGAAAAACAGAAAGCTAAATCTAAGAAGACACATTAAAATGCATACAGTCCACCTTGATGTATAAAATTGAAAAAGACACAAAATTAAGCCACTTCGTGACTACAAGAAGAGGAACAGAATATAATACAATTCAGAGTGGTTACTTCTGATTCTGGAAAAGAGAATATGATCTGAGAGGTGTACATAAGGGTTTGAGGGGTATAATAATGCTTGCTCTATTCTACTTAGTAGTCTGAATGCTAGGTTCTTGCATGTTTTTATTATTTAAACTGTACATAAGTTGTATCCTCTGCTATTTACATTACATAGTCACTTAATGAGCCACAACAAAAAAACCTTTACTACTTTCCCAATGTATCTAAATTGAGAGTTCAATGTTTTTAACACTTCCTATAGCCTGGTTGCTCAGGTCCCTGGGCTATTTCTCTGACTTCTCTGTCACTCATACTAAAGAAAATGGGTAAAACCAGACAATAACGCAAGAGTTAATTGAAAGGTAGCACAATTCTAAAGAGTAAGAACTGTGTCGTCTAATATTTTAGCAATATGACACAGGAATAATTGATAAATCTTTTAAAATTTCTTTACTGACAAACCAAAGGTAAGGGCATGTCAGCTCCTTTCCCCACATCTCACTCCATTATGAGGGTCCACACCTGTATATCATGACTACCTATTTCCACCTCACCCTATTTCTCATTCCGTCAATGACTTTCAGCCACCCACGCGCTACGAGGTTCCGCAGCGCCCTGGGCATTTTCTCAACCCTCATCCTTTTACAGAAGACATATTCCGCAACAGCTTCGCTTGGGGGACCCTTGAGCAAAAGCCATAGTTAGGAACACGTGGGTGGCACCATATCGGCTTGTCGTTCCTGTGGGCCCGGCCAACAATATTAATCATCAGCAATTCAGATACTCAACTACACAGAACAGGCTCCAGGTGGTTTTATAAGTCAACAAGCAACAAAAGAAACATCGCAACTCAACGTCCACAAACCCCAGGCTTCGGTTCCCACATAACATCACCTTGGTTTTCCGGCTTCAGCTTCTGGTTACGAAATTCACTTTTTCCAGCAGCTTTTTCTGGCCGCGCCAGCGAGGACGACGCCATTTTCAAGCTGCTTCCGGTGGCGCCGGATGTGTAACTGCTTTTAAGTCCTACCTGCTGAAATGCCCACAGTCAAAATGAGTTCCGCGGAACTCAGACGAGAAGACCTGCGCAGTCTCCGTGCGTACGTGCGCTAAGGCCTGCGTTTTTGCCCAACCCACAGCTTCTCTTTGTCAATTGAAGAGCCGGAAACTTTCTCCCAGGATGCACTGCAACCATGGAGTTTGCGTACTGGGAATTGTAGTTTAGCAAGCGGTATAGGCAAATTGGATAGTAATCCGTAGTTTCCTCGTGGCCTAACTTTGTAACCTGGACCACCGGACTGCCGAGTGCGACCAGGCTGTCATGGATGTCGTTTATTCTTTCGATGAATATTATATGATGGCCAAATATGCACTAGATGTCGGGAGGAAATAAAAAAACGAGAATACGATGTATATGGGTCTCACTGCAGGAAGTGACAGGAATAGCTACTATTTATTGTGAAAAATACGTTGGCTTTACAAGAGTAAATAGTACCTATATATACTTACTAAAAAGTAAAATTGACAGTTAAATGAGAACAATATTTCAACAATTTGCTTAGACTACGTTTTAAGCAATTTCGAAGAAAATTTTTAAAAATAAATATGGTATGGAATAAATAAATTCCAAAATAAATTCAACTAGTTCTTCTAAGAATTAAACATTGCAATCAATATTACATATGAATGGTTTAAACTTTTAAAACCTCTAAACAATAGTTTCCACGTGTGAGAACTGTGTGCTCTAGATGATCTAATTTCAACATCTTCCAAAAATTCATTAGAATTGAAAGAACGATTTTAAATAAATATTGACTAATAACTAAATATTATATTTATTGAATACATATTGAAAATAAATATTGAAAAATCTCTTAAAATCATCTTAGAAGACTAGAAACTCAAAAGTGATGATCAAAATGATGGTGTCCAAATTTTCATCTCAATTTCAGTGACTCACTGATTATAAAGTATTCAAAATAATAATTTAAAATTTAAAATGATGAGAAATAGTGTGAGAAAAATAAAAGATATAAGAGAGATGGGGAAATATTCACAAAACATTTAATGAGTTGATTACAATAATATTCAAGGTGATAAAAAGATGTAAGCAATTCAGTAGAAAAATAAGGAAAATAGTAGATATTTGTGATGGTTAATTTTAAGTGTCAACTTCACTGGGTAATGTTATCCAGATATTTGGTCCAACATTATTATGGATGTTTCTGTGGGAGTGCTTTTGGATGAGATTAACATTCAAATCAGTGAACTTTGAGTAAGGCAGATTTTCCTCTATGCTGTGGGTAATCCTCATCCAATCAATTTAAGACCTGAATAGAAAAAAAAGACTGACCTCCCCTGAGAAAGAAGAATTATGCAGCACAAGTCCCTTGGACTTGAATTGCAGCATTGTCCTATCTCTGAGTCTCCAGCATGTCAGCCTACGCTGCAGATTTTGTACGTACCAGCCTCCATAAATGTGTGAGCCAATTTTTAAAATAAATAAAAATAAAACACACACACACACACACACACACACACACACACTTACTGGTTTTGTTTTTCTGGAGGGCCCAAATACAACAATTTTTAGTGGCGCAAATCCAAATGAATAACAAACATATAATGTTCAACCTCACTACTGTCTACAAAGTATACAGACCTAACAATGGAATATCACTTCTCACCCACCAGATTGAAAAAAAAAAAGAAAATAATAAATATGTATTTTTAAAAATAAGACTGCTAGAGGAAAGAACACTCTCATACACTGCTGGTGCAAATGTAAACTGTTACTGCGTTTTTGCAGAGCAATTTAGCAATATAAATACACATGTGGTTCTGTAGTAATTCTACGCCAGATAAACTATTGAATAGAAATAAAGGACCATTCAATTAAAGTGTTTGTACAATAGTGTTGATTACTACCTTCTATAGAAGTAGTTCAGTGAAATATACTTTGGAGCCATACTGACTAGTTTGCCGCCTACTGGCTGTATAGCCTTGGGCAAGTTTCTTACCCATGCCTGCTCAGTTTCCTAAAATGGGGAGTATAGCCTAACCCTTCAGTAGTTTAATACACGTAAAGTAAAAAAAAAAAAAAAAAAAAAAAAAAAATTTAGCATATGATAAACACTCAATAGGTGTTAGCTATTATTGTTTACTCTGGCAAAAAGTAAAAGCATTTTATCTATCAATTAGGGATATACTTAAATAAATTGATGTTACCTTCATAACCAAGAGCTATTATACAACCATTTATAATAATTAATAAAATATATATAAAAAATTACATAGAATATTGAGCAATAAAAGCCAGATACATAAACATATATATACACATATGCACACACACACATATATATATATAATATGATTCCACTTTTCTAAGACAATTCATTCAATAAATATTTATTGAGCACCTATAATGTTCAAGACACTGTTCTAAATATTTGGTTATATTCTATGTGCTGAACATAATATATGATTATATGAATTTGTATGTGATTGTACAATGAACAAGAATTGGGATGGATACAGGTTAAGCTTTTAAGACTGGCTAACTTAGAGATGAAAGTGATTAGAAAAGAAGATGAAACTAGGCAAAAAGACAAAAGAAGATGTCCATAATAAAACAGCATGTATAATATGATCCTATTTACATAAAACTGTCTGTGTGTGTGTGTGTGTGTGTGTGTGTGTGCCTGCATGAAAAGATGGTCATCAAAATGTTGACTATGTTATGTTACCTTTCAGTATAGAGACATTTCAAAGTATGGCAATTCAATAGCAATACGACTGATTGTAAGTCAATTACAATATATATCATTTTTCTTTAACATCTTTGGAAATCTGAACATAAATATGTAAATAAATAGAATATGTACTCAAATAACACTAAAAGGGAAAAGAAAAATTGACATCTCTAAAGGGTTTCTTGACACAAATCTAGACTAGATTGGGAAAGTCCTTGGGTCTCAGCCCTTTTTTATTTTTTATTTTTCATTTTTCAAGACGGAGTCTCGCTCTATTGACATTGCTGGAGGGCAGTGGCTTGATCTCAGCTCACTGCAATCTCTGCATCCCGGGTTCAAGCAATTCTCCTGCCTCAGCCTCCCGAGCAGCTGGACTGCAGGTGCCCACCATCATGCCCAGCTAATTTTTGTATTTTTAGTAGAGATGAGGTTTTGCCATATTGGCCATGCTGGTCTTGAACTCTTGATCTCAGGTGAGCTACTCACCTCAGCATTCCAAAGTGCTGGGATTACAGGCAGGCCCTTTTAGGCCCTTTTTGATTGTGACTTCTCCCTATTTTGACCTTTTTTTTTTTTTGGAGGCAGAGTCTTGCTCTGTCATCCAGGCTGGAGTGCAGTGGCACAATCTCAGCTCACTGCAATCTCTGCCTCCCAGTTCAAGCAGTTCTCTGCCTCAGACTCCCAAGTATCTGGGATTACAGGCGTCCGCCACCATGCCCACTAATTTTTGTATTTTTAGTAGAGACGGGGTTTCACCATCTTGACCAGGCTGGTCTTGAACTCCTGACCTCATGATCCACTCGTCTCAGCCTCCCAAAATGCTAGGATTACAGGCATGAGCCACTGCACCCGGCCTCTTTATCCTCTTAAGCAATCTAGACCCACATGCAGCCATCATCTTCCTGTGGGAAATGTGCTCCACCTGTTCTTAGCCTGCTTATTCATTTTCCCATGGAAAGCACAAATTGGCCTCACACAACTCTCCTTTGGAATTAGAGACCTTAATTCTCACAGTAACCAGAGGGTAGAGGGGAAAGAAAGAGTACAGATGAGATTTAACAATGTCCTTGGAGAATGTATTATCTCTTATTAAACAGGCAAATGGCAAATAAATGTGGTTTATTTTTAACATTTCTACACTCACTTATCACAGACAAAAAGTAATTTTGCACAGTGATCTACTTTCTTGCAAACTTTGTTTTGTTTTTTAAATAATCCAGATAGGATTTTTCAAATACGTAGGGTTGACACATTTTTATTTTCTTTTTTTAAATTTTATTTTAGGTTCAGGGGTACATATGCCAGTTTGTTATATGGATAAACGCGTGTCATGGGGGTTTGTTGTACAGATTATTTCATCACCCAGATGCTAAACCTAGTACCCAATAGTTATTTTTCCTGCTCCTCTCCTCTCCCCCTCCACCCTCAAGTAGGCCCCAGTGTCTGATGTTCCCTTCTTTATATTCATGAGTTCTCATTATTTAGCTCCCACTTATAAGTGAGAAGATGTGGTATTTGGTTTTCTGTTGCTGCATTAGATTGCTAACGGGATTAGATGACTCCTGCCTTCTCACATGGGAGTCAGTGAAGTGTTTAGAAACTGCTGCAAGACAAACAAGCCTCCAGTGGGTGATCAGTAGGAGAGCACGTTCAGAGGGAAGAGCCATCTCGACAGAATCACACCAGATTCTATTTTCAGGATGAATTTCTTATTTCTGCCATCTTTTGGAATAAATATTCTTTTCCTTTCTATGGAAAAAAAAAACATTGCTAATGCAGCAACAGAAAATGGATGGAGCTGGAGTATGGAGTCTCCAGCTCCATTTATGTTCTCTCAAAAATCATGATCTCATTCTTTTTTATGGTTACATAGCCACATTTTTATTTTCTAATATACATTAGTTGCTTTTTATCCAGACATCTTCATGGAAAAGTTTGAAATTCTAAATTAATATATCTAACAACATCAATAACAGTAATAATACCTGTCGCTGTAAAAGTAAGCCCTCTTCTAACTCCAAGTGATTTCATAATGAAATAGGTATCTAGTCAGGCACACACACACAAATAATGTAGTCTAGCTGTAAACTAATTATATATAATCAGTCATAAAATTATTATATTATTAGCCTATCTTTAGAAAAATAATGTGTTGATAAAAGTGAATTGTTCTTCATGAAACCCAAGAACCCTTGGAATCTAGAGAGAGACCAGACTTAAGACACATTCAGAGTAAGTCTTGAAATGTTTTCTGCTGTGCAGCAGGGTGTTTCCTGTAGTCAGCGCCTGGATGAAA